AACAGTACTTACAACTTGCTCAACATATCGTACCTCGGATCTTCGCGCCGAGATCTATGACCTCGAGTGTTTCTTATTTGCTTTTTAGAACGAATTTGGGGATCTTGCTGCCTTGTTCTATGTTAAACAGTATTTACAACTTGCTCAACATATCGTACCTCGGGATCTTCGCGCCGAGATCTATGACCTCGAGTGTTTCTTATTTGCTTTTTAGAACGAATTTGGGGATCTTGCTGCCTTGTTCTATGTTGAACAGTATTTACAACTTGCTCAACATATCGTACCTCGGGATCTTCGCGCCGAGACCTATTTAAATTTTGTTCAAAAGACCGTACCTCGAGATTTTCCCACCTGGTTCTATGTTGATTTGTATTGATACTTTGTTCGGACATTCATCAGAATCTAACCTACAATTTGCGTTACTTACAGTATATTGTGACTGCTCACTATCTCTATATAAAGAGTTTGCACGAAGAACTCTCATACGTCTTCTATTCTGAAGACGACTTAGTAATACAGATTTTCTTTTTAATCTAGCCATAAATAATTATTAATAAATGGCTTAATATATAAAATACTTATAGATGATACTTATAAAACGCAGTCCGCCCATATGAAAAATTGGATCCTAGGTGCTGCTCTCTTTCACTGTAATTGAGTCCTTACTATGACTCCTTTCCTGTTCGGTGTATAGGTACTATGGTATACATACAAGGTGCGTTCCAAAGTAGACAGGAGTTTTAAAAGAAAGACAGAACAAATGGTTTTATCGGCAAAATCAATTAATTTTATTCAAAAAAGTCTCCTTCTGTTTTCATACAGCTTTTTGCACGGTCCAAAAGCATGTCGAACGAGTGTGTTAGCTCGTTGCCCGGTATGGCCGATAGAATGCCGGTGCAAGCCGGGGAATGGATGATTGTTAAAATGTGATTTTTGGTCAAATAATCGGCCACAAGCGTCGATCGATGAGATGGCGCATTATCGTGCAACAAACGCCAACTTCCATCTTCGCGATATTCGGGCCGAACACGTCGAATACGGCGCACCAAACACTTCGAAACTCCAAGGTAGAATACCGCATTAACGTTTTGGCCGAGTGGAACAAATTCTTTGTGGACAATACCCTTGGAATCATAAACAAAAAATCAGCATTGTCTTCACTTTTGATTTCTCCTGGCGCGATTTCTTGGGTTTCATGTTCATCGTCATTTATGTCCTCACGACCACTTTGAAAACGTTGAAACCACTCGTGCACTCTGCTACGGGATAGGCAATCATCGCCATAAACTTGTTTCATCAATTGAAACAAAATTTAATGTTGGCTCTTTGTTCGAAGCTCATTTTCGCACCGATGACAAAAACACACTGACACTTAAAACGCAATAACTTCACTTCCAATAGAATAACGCACTAGTTGACATATAGATGGCGCCACTAGAGTTTTTTACCGTTTACTTTGGAACGCACCTTGTATGTACAATATATGTGGTTGCTCGCCACTGTATATAATAATAGCTTAAACACTATATAACTAATACCAGAGAATGTTGATGAGTAGAGAAGGAGCAAATGTTAGCAGTACTAAAATGTTAATTGCTAAGAAGGAACATCGAAAACGCGCAAGTTCGAAAATAAAATGTCACCACAGCTGTCAATTTACGCAACGAACTACACCACTCTATAAGCAAAATGTATATACATACATATGCACAGATGTTCTTTGATATGCGCATAAACAAAAATTGAAATAATAAAAACGAAAGAAATTGACTTCTGACAGGAAAATTTAATAATCAGGGAAATAATATTAAAATAGAATTCAAATATCAATTCATAAAAAAGGGTTATAAAAATAAAAAAGGACTATATAATATATGATTGGATTTGAACTTAGGCAAAATATTTCACGTTGCAATAAAGAAGTCTGCTATACAAGCAGCACCACAGACAATATTCAAACTCTTATGTCTAATCTGTGAACTCAAACGGCTATTGTTGTTTATTTGCTTCAATGTTCATATGTCTTCCTTCATTCGCATGTCCAAATATATTTGCATATATGTACACATATGTACATATGTATGTCCCTCAATATGTCTTTCGCAAAAAATCAAACATTCGCGCAAGTGACAAAAAAAACGTAGACGCACCATCATCGGCCAATAATATTCAAGCGAACTCGCGGCTTATTTTCTAAGTATTTCATATTACAACGACAACAAATTCATTCCTAAGGAACGTGCGTCTGCTTCAAAGCAAAGTGCGCTCGTTCATAACTCTGCGCCGCGCTATTTTTTCTGTGCGCCTGGTAAACCACATTTGGTTTTCATATAGAATTCCTACGCATATGCGAAATAAATGAATGAAATTGAGTAAAACGAGAAAAATTAAATTTTACAATTTGACAGCCACCACTGAAAATCCTACCATCCCCCTCGCATTTGTATGTCCACAAGCTGCTTCCTCACAACATTTGCTAAAAATCAGAAATTGAAGAATTTGTCTGATGTTCACTTCAGAAAGGAGAATTGGCAACATGACCTATTCGAGTTTAAATAATATTTATATTTTTTCATATTATGCACTATTTATGGCATTAAATTATAAAATTTATATCAAATTGACATTCATATGAAATCATTAACTACTTCTATATATTCTAAGCACAGTCCATATAGTACTTTTATATGTTTACTTATTATCATTGTTTCATAGTTTTTCGATTTAGCCCATTTTATCTAAATACGACGCTATGAAAATGCAGCCCAATTGGTAATCGCAATATTTCAAAAGAGCATAAGTCAACTTTCAATAGCAAACCACTGCAAAAAGGACAAACGAGACAACATAGCCGATCGACATTGTCGCAAAATTGTCGATTGAAACAAATTTTGTCAACTCCGCGACGATGCGCAAAATTTGGCGTCAATATGTATGCGAGCTCGTTTGTATGTATGTATATAAATATGTATGTTTGTCGGCAAAGTCGTCATTTAGTTTTTTTCAACAACACAATGTCCGCGCGAACTCGCCGTTATTTCGTTGGCTCTCCACCATGCACATAGGCGTGTCAAGTGAGGGCTCATAATATATTGATATGTTGCTTAATTTGTATTGAAAAATACTGATGCATTTATGAATTATTTTCGTAATATAATATATTATATATATATATATATATATATATACCAATAAATTCATACCTATAATCGTTTTCAAACTGAATTCGATAAATAAAATATATATCTGAAATAATTATGTGGCGGTGCGCCCCAATCCCTCCTTGCCTGCGATCGTTCAACTCGCAAAAAGCAAAAAGCGTAGACAAAAGTCATTGCTTGTGCGGGGCAAGAAGAAGCAAGCATCTGCGTACGTGTATTTAAGAATGTATGTGTGATTATCACATTTGTGTAAATACGCATAATAAGGAAATATTCAATAAACCTAAACATATGAACATATTATATTTTCCTGATATATTTTAATTATCTCAGGAAGTAAAATATGCTATTAAAGAAATTGAATTATGATATGCTTAGACTCCAATTAATAAAATAAAAAAATTAAATAAAATTCGTTTTAGGATTCGAACGTATAGGCTCGTATTCGGATTGTGCTTAACCCCTTCCCGCTTACGACCTCAGCCACCACAAAAGTGGAAATGTGGCCGCTTAGCCACCGTTTTATTGTTATCCTTTTTTTAATAAGCAAATGCTCACATAACGCACATACATAAGTTGGAAAAATAGCCTATTAAATGTTTATTTTATTATGAATTCTGGGGTTTTTACCGGTAATACAGATTTTTAATTCAGAAGGCTTTTCATAATTATAAATTTGTCATATCATAGAAATTGAAAACATAAATCTAAATAGGTATGCGCAACGATTTTTCATATAGGAATATTCGTTGTGTCTATTTATAGCATTTCGCATATCGTGTGGTGTATTTTTCTTTTTCGAAGTTATACTTTTCGATGTTCCCTCTTGTGGAATTACAAATTAGTACTCAAAAAGTTTTCATTTAACATTTGCTCCTTCTCTACTCTTCAACATTCTCTGATATAAGCTACATTTTAACAGCATAATTACCAGATGTTGTTGACGCTATAAAATTAATTAAATTTATTTTGTAGTGAACGAAATACCGTATAATTCAATTATTTCCGCTTTTTAAATTTTTGGTGTTACCATAGCCGGCCACGTGTTACTTAGACTAAAGTGTAAATTGAATTCATATTATAATGGAGATAATACAGTGAAATTAATCCTGTTTTTTACTTATTTGTGCTTCATTGATCAAAACTTTATAATTTAATTTGAATATATGTATGTAAGTATTATCACATAATATAATTAAAATGTCAATGAAAAAATGATACACAATTTCCTACACTTTTTCAATAGTTGTACAAACCCTTCAGTTGGCAGAACAAATTGAATCAAGAAATCCAGCTCAAAGAATCAGGACAGCAGAAGGATTTTTCAATAATTGTACAAAAATTTTATATTATTTTTATTTAACCTCCATTGAAAATTATTTTGCACTTATTATTTCAATGTGCTATGATAACATGTTTTTCAGTTCCTCTTTCTAATATTTAAACGATTAAATTACTAATAATTCAGTTAAATGCCACCGAAAAAATCTAACCTCAACAACGCGAGCAGCAAAAGGTCACGACGCAAACGTGTTGAAAGAACTCATCAATTACCAGAACAAATCGAAACAAGAAATGCAGCTCAAAGAATCAGGACTGCAGAAAGTCGTGCACAAGAATCTCAAGAACAGCGTGACGAACGTCTGCAACAGAATTTTACGAGAACAAGAGCGGCACGAGAACGAAACATAGCTACAGTACGAGTACTAGATCGACAAAGGCAACGGATCAGCCGCTCATTAACACGTGCATCATTCGTTCGGCGTGCCTTTGAATATGCACCAGATATTAACTACTCAGCGCATTCAAAAATTGCTATCGGTGGAATGGGTAAAGTATGTCAATATTGTCGGGCATTGAAATTTCGGAATGAAGCAGCCGGCATGTGCTGCGCATCAGGAAAAGTTGTGCTGTCACCTCTACCCGCTCCGCCGGAGCCTTTATTATCCCTTCTTACTGGCAATTCAGATGATCCCAAATTATTTTTGCGTAAGATACGCAAATTAAATTCTTGCTTCCAAATGACGTCATTTGGGGCAACTAAAATTTGCGATCGTGCATACGATGGACGTAATTTTGAAACTACATTCAAAATTCAAGGCCAGGTGTACCATAAAATCGGATCACTGATGCCAATGTCTGATAACAATCCGAAATTTCTTCAAATTTATTTTACGGGCGATTGTGAAGAGCGCGTGACGACTCGGTGCCTGTATAATTTTATTGAACAAGCAGAGGAAAGAGCAATTGTGATATTATTGGAAAATTTTTTAGAAGATCACAATCAACTAATTCAATTGATCAAAAGAGTTTCGCCACGATTGCAAAATGACAATTATCAAATCGTCATAAAAGCCAACAAAGTACCATTAGGTGAACATGCTGGTAGATTCAACGCTCCAACTGTTGATGAGGTTGCTGTTATCATGGTTGGTGATCCAGTTGACAAAAGATCTATTAAAATTACACGGCGAGACAACACTGTCAGTACGATTTCGGATCTACACCGTTCGTATGACGCACTACAATATCCATTGATATTTTGGCAAGGACAAGATGAATATCACCTTAATATCAATCAGTATGATCCAAATACCGGTAAATTTGACAATTATCTATTTACTTTCTCACTGTATGTATAGATTTTAATTTCGTATTGCATTTTATTTTTTATTTTTTTAGGTGATTACAGAAATAAAAAAGTTAGCTCAATGAACTACTACGCACACCGAATAATGGTTAGACAACATCAAGATAATTATATCCTTCGATATCGTCAGCTGTTCCATCAATACATTGTTGATATGTACGCTAAGGTCGAAAGCGAACGCTTGCAATTTCTTCGATTCAACCAGGCAAAACTACGATCGGAAGAATATATTCACTTACGAGATGCTGTTGCTGGAAACATCGATGGAAATTTAAATCCCAATGACATCGGTAATGCTTTCATTTTACCTTCAAGCTACATCGGCAGTCCACGGAACATGCAGGAATACATACAAGATGCGATGACTTACGTACGTCATTACGGCCGACCGGATTTATTTATTACATTCACATGTAATCCGAATTGGGAAGAGATACAAACTTTACTATTGCCAGGACAACAAGCCATTCATCGTCATGATTTAACTGCACGTGTGTTTAAACAAAAATTGAAATCCTTAATTGATTTTATTGTTAAATATTCAATTTTTGGTATCACACGTTGTTGGCTGTATACGATAGAGTGGCAAAAGCGAGGTTTGCCTCATGCCCACATTTTGGTTTGGCTTAAAGATAGAATCCGTCCTGAAAACATCGATCAAATAATTTCAGCCGAAATTCCAGACCCATTAATTGATCAAGAATTATTTGATATTGTCACCAAACACATGATCCATGGGCCATGCGGTGCTTTCAACATGACGTCACTGTGCATGGAAAATGGAAAATGTAAAAATAACTTCCCAAAGCCGCATACGAATGACACGATCACGGATATTGATGGTTATCCAATGTATCGCCGCAGAAGTATTGAGAATGGTGGCCACACATTTACAATGCGACTGCCGAACTTTCCAAATCAAGTTGAGTTTGATAATCAGTGGGTGGTACCATACTCACCACTACTTTCAAAAATTTACAAAGCTCATATCAATGTTGAGCTTTGCAGTTCTGTTAAATCAATTAAGTATATTTGTAAATATGTAAACAAAGGCAGTGATTTGGCCATATTTGAAGTACAAAACATAAATAAAAATGACGAAATAGCACGATACCAAATGGGCAGATACATTAGTAGCAATGAAGCTATTTGGCATATTCTCAGCTTTCCCATCCACGAAAGAGATCCTGCTGTCCAACATCTGGCAATACATCTTGAAAACGGTCAACGTGTATACTTCACTGAATTTTTTACATTGTGTCAAAAACCTGATGTTTTTGGCCAATTCGCGAAGACATTGGTGTATGGTGATGTTCCACGTTATTTCACATGGAACAAATCCAGTAAAAAATGGGAGCCACGGAAACAAGGAAAACCACATCCTTCCATTACAGGCATATTCAAAGCTAAGACATTGGGGAGACTTTACACGGTACATCCAAAGCAACGTGAGTGCTTCTATTATGTTTGTTATTGGTGAATGTTCCCGGACCAACGTCTTTTGAATTTTTACGAACAGTTAATGGTCGAGTATTCAATACATACCAGGATGCATGTCGTGAACTGCAATTGCTAGAAGACGATAACCATTGCGACTTAACGCTTGCTGATGCTGCGTTGACATCAACATCGAATAACATTCGTCAGTTGTTTGCAATTATTTTGACGACATGTTATCCCTCGCAAGCACAAACTTTGTGGGAAAAATATAAAAATTGTATGACAGAAGACATCTTGCACCGAATTAGACAAACAAATCAATGCCAAAACATAGATTATACACCAGAGATGTACAATGAAGCATTGGTCTTGATCGAGGATTTATGTGTTCTTATTTCAAATTTACCACTTAATCATTATGGTATGCCATCACCTAATCGTCCAGCCACCGACTTAGTCAATACCGATTTACAACAAGAAAAGCAATACGACCATGGAAGTTTAGCAACAATTATCATGAACAGTGAACCATTACTGACAGCAGAACAAAAAATTATTTATGATCGGATTATGCTGGCTGTTGCTGCTGAGCAAGGTGGTTTTTTTTTCTTGGATGCACCCGGTGGAACCGGTAAGACATTTTTAATATCGTTGATTCTGGCCAAAATACGGTCGCGCACATTCAACATTCAAGCTGCCATTGGACGTTCATAATAAACCAGATGCAATGTGTAACATCAAAAAGAATAGTGGAATAGCTGCAGTGTTGCGGAAGAGTTCTATAATAATTTGGGATGAGTGCACAATGGCACACAAATATTCACTTGAAGCATTAAACAGAACTATGCAAGATTTAAACAGCAATAATAAAGTTTTCGGTGGTGCTATCTTACTTTTGTCTGGTGACTTCCGGCAGACCTTACCGGTTATACCTCGCTCTACTTTCGCGGATGAGATTAATGCATGTTTGAAACAATCATTCTTATGGCGAAGTGTTGAAATACTTCGATTGACCATAAATATGCGAGTACAATTGCAAAATGATCCATCAGCACAAATATTTTCCGAACAACTACTAGATATTGGGAACGGTAAAATAGAACTGCAACCAAATACGCAATGCATTAAACTACCAGACAATTTTTGCACTGTTGTTCAGGATAAAAATGAATTCATTCAGAGTATTCCGGTATCCCGGATATACAGAATAATTATTTGAATCATGAATGGCTTAGTCAACGGCCGATTTTGGCAGCCAAAAACGTTGATGTTGACCAAATTAATTTCCAGATACAACAGTTGTTACCAGGCGATCTGATGTCTTTTAAATCAATCGATACTGTTGTTGATGAAAATGAAAGTGTAAATTTTCCGATTGAATTTTAATTCATTAGATATCCCTGGAATGCCACCACATAATCTTCGATTAAAGATTGGTTCCCCTATTATTCTCTTCCGTAATTTGAATCCACCTCAGTTATGTAACGGTACGCGTTTGGTCATCAAAAAGATCACCGGAAACATTCTTGAAGCAACCATTTTGGCTGGGAAGTTTAAAGGAAAAGTGGTCCTGCTGCCACGTATTCCGATGATACCATCAGATTCTACTATACCCTTCAAAAGGCTACAGTTTCCAATTCGTTTAGTTTTCGCCATGTCTATAAATAAATCTCAAGGTCAAACAATGTCCATTTGTGGTTTAGATTTGGAAAATCCATGTTTTTCTCATGGGCAACTATATGTTGCGTGTTCACGTGTTGGGAAACCGTCGAATCTATTTGTGTTAGCTAAAGACAGGTTAACCAAAAACATTGTGCACCGATTGGTGTTAAATTATATTGAAATTGAAAGTACTTATAATTCACAAAAATAGATATTAATGTTTAAAAGTTTAAGACTGTCTGCCTTGCCTACCTCATTCATGAGTTTAAGCGCCACATGTTATTTACTGTATTATACTGTATACAAATAAGTATATTTGTTATAAAATTAAATGGAAATAATAAATCTGATAAATTTTTACTTTGTATGGATTTCTGCTTAATATCAAGTGTAAGAACATTTTAATTAATTGTGTTCAACGTACTTTCCCTTCAAATCTCAATCCAGTGAATTTGTATACCAACATCAACATTTTCGTCTTTGTTCATAAATAATTTCATTGTACTAAAGGGTTATAGTAGTAGAAAGTCAAATAAGGAGATCACCATATTTTTTTACAAATACCATCTGTGTGAAAAAGCATAGTGGACTCCGTGACTGATGTTCTCTTATTGTTCCTCTGAGATTGTTTACTATAATGTAATATAACAAAAACTTTAGCCACAGCAACGCGTGGCCGGGTCAGCTAGTAAAGATATAAAATATAAAGCTAGCTTCATTCAATTTTTCTTTACATGAAAACAAGGAATCATTCGTCGTTTGCCTGCTAGTGTTAGTTATCATATCTAAGGCACAGTCCAATTCCGTTATACAAGTAGATTTAACCAGAGAAGAGAAGAACGAGAAGGTACAAATTGAATTTTGTATGATCAGAGAACGTAAATGAATAGAGAAGGGGCAAATGTTAAATGAAATCTTTTTGAGTACTAATTTGTAATTCCAGATGAGGGAACATCGACAAATATAACTTCGAACAAGTAAGGAAGGTCTAAGTTCGGATGTAACCGAACATTTTATACTCTCGCAAAGTCAAATATTATACTCGTTTGAGATTTCTTTGTGGATTGACTGATATTTTCGGTAGAAGGTCAACTATAGGCACTGGGGTCCACATATTTAGTACTTAGGCGCTTGAACAGTTTTGGTTCGACTTAGACAATTTTTGGTCACAAGGTGGCATACTTTAAACGTATTATTCACGCAAAGTTTTATCCCGATATATTCATTGTTGCTTGATATGCATGGTGGAAAGTGAAAGAATCAGATGGAGTTGAAAATGGTGTTATATGGGAAATAGGCTTAGTTGTAATCCGATTTCGCACTATAGCATAGAAATATGAGAAGAATAATATGTACCGAATTTGGTTGGCATCGGTTAAGCAGATCCCAAGATATGGGTTTTCACCTAAACGCCCTTCACGCCCACTGACTAATTTCGAACGCGGTTTCTATAAAGTCATCTCATACCATCCCAGAGATAAAAATTTAATGTCTCGCGCTTTTAGTAGTTTTTAACAGTACCGTTATATGGGGAGTGGGCGGGGTTGTCAACCGATTTCACATGTTTTCACACCGTCGATATAGGTGTTTGTTCCCAGTGAATTTTGTTATTATAGTTTTAGTGGTACAGGAGATATGCACATTAAACTTATGAGGGGCGGGACCACGCCCACTTTAGAAAAAGTAATTAAACTGCAGATGCCCCTCCCTAATGTGATCCTGTATACCAAATAACAGTCGTGTATCTTGTTGTGGAGCTTAGTTATGGCAATTTATTTGTTTTTGTTTAATGGCGTTTTGTTGGTGTGGTAGCGGTCCGCTTACGCCCGTCTGCAATACCAACCGTCTTACGGTATCAAGAAACATGTGCACCAAGTTTCATAAAGATGTCTTAATTTTTACTCAAGTTACAGCTTGCACGGACGGACGGACGGACAGACAGTCACCCGGATTTCAACTCGTCTCTTCATCCTGATCATTTATATATACATAACCCTATATCTAACTCGACTAGTTTTAGGTGATACAAACAACTGTTAGGTGAACAAAACTATTATGCTCTGTAGCAACAAGTTGCGAGAGTAAAAAAAAATGTTATTTCTCACTGAACGACATATTCGGCATAAAACTGGTTAGAATAACGAAAAGTATTATAAGTAGTATATGGAAGTAGAGGGTAGTATAAACCCGATTTTATCAATTTTTGCCAATACTACATACTACTAACATGCCACACACTAATAAAATGCTTCCACTGTTTCATTAAGGTACCTCACATACCATCACCAATCATATGGAGTATAGTCAGACGAATGTTCGAAAATCCTGATATTTGTTACTTGGGGCTAGGTAAATTCATCCATTTAGGCACAAATTTCGATTTCATCCATTTTAGGCACAAAGATACCTTGTTATGAGTAAAACACAATTTCTCATTTTCATTGAAATAACTCACATATGGGCCGGTAGATGCGGTATTAAGTCACCCGGAAGTTCAAAAATCTTTATATTAGGTAAATGAGGGCTATACAAGTAGGAAGTATTGATCCAATTCAACCCAGTTTTTGACACAAACATACTATTATCGAGGTTTCATTTATTTATTTTATTATATGAATTTCAATTATATATTTTATACATTGACCGATATTTTCAATAACTATAGGCACTGGGGTCCACATATTCAGTACCTAGGGGCTTGAAAAGTTTTGATTTGGTTTGGACAATTTTTGGTCACAATGCGGCATTATTCACGCAAACTTGTACCCCGATACACTTATTGTTGCTTGATTTGCATAGTGGAAAGTGAAAGAATCAGATGGAATGTATAATGTTGTTATATGGGAAATAGGCGTGGTTGTAATCCGACTTCGCTGCTTTTCGCACTATAACATAAAAATATGAAAAGAATATTATGTACTGAATTTGGTTGCAATCGGTAAAGCAGATCCTAAGATATGGGTTTTCCCGTAAAAGTGGGCGTTGCTACGCCCACTGTCTAATTTTGAACGCGATTACTTTATAGTCATCTTATACCATCCCAGGGATTAAATTAAATGTCTCCGACGTGTTTAGTGCTTGATTTATTGCGCTTTTAGTAGTTTTTAACAGTACCGTTATATGCGGTGTGGGCGCGGTTGTCACCCGATTTCTCCCATTTTCACCATGGCGATAGAGGTGTTAAAAGAATTTGTTCTCAGTGAACTTTGTAATTATAGTTTTAGCAGTTTAGGAGATATGCACATTAAACCTATTAAGGGGCGAGACTACGCTCACTTTTTTAAAAAAATATTAACTGCAGATGTCAGCAGATGTGGCAACGGTCCGATTACGTCCACCTGCAATACCAATCGTCTTACGGTACCAAGAAACATGTGTACCAAGTTTCGTAAAGATATCTCAAATTTTACTCAAGTTACAGCTTGCACAGACGGACGGACGGACGGACGGACGAACAGACAGTGACCCGGATTTCAACTCCTTTCTTCATCCTGATCATTTATAGATACATAACCCTATATCTAACTCGATTAGTTTAAATGATTCAAGCAACCGTTAGGTGAACAAAACTATTATACTTTGTAGCAACATGTTGCGAGAGTACAAAAATTATTAAAAATAGGAAATGTAATATATTAATAATAAGTCACAGAAAGTTTTCACAAATCGAGCCGAAGGTAATAACGGCAAAAATAAAAAATTATCAAAAATAAAGAAAATGTATATATATAAATAAATAAAAGGTATGTCCAAAACTTTGACAAATGACAAATGACGCCTCAAACAGCAAAAAAGGAATAAAATTTTAAAAATCGTAAAAGGTAGAAAGACAGCAAAAAAGGAATAAAATTTTAAAAATCTTAAAAGGTAGAAACAAACAATATGTCAGGGGCATTACCAGTAGATTTGGATGTTGATAAATTAGAAAAAAATAGTTCAAAACTTAGGGAAAAACGAAAATCCTTACCAGAAATTTTTATTCAAGGATAACCCATCTAAAGAATATAAAATAAAATGTATGAGGGCAGCTTTTAAATACAAAGTGGCAACGGTTGAGCACTATGACAATAGGGATACAATAGTATCTGAAACAATCGCTATGATTAGGGTTTGCGAAAAGAAAAGTCGTTAAAACAGTATTAAAACGTAATAAAAGCATCCTTGCCTCGAAGAATTTTTTTTTTAATGGAAAATAATTGAAGTGCACTAAAATACGAAAGGCTGTACTATTATAATCATTGCAAGGGCAACCATAGAACTTAAACTTGCCCATATTTAAAACATACAAAAACGAAAATAATAAATAATGGCTCCAAATAGTGAAAACGAGAATCTTGTTGTTAGACTAATAACTGCAACAAAATCTTCTCTTAGATTGGAGGTAGAGGAGTTGTGAAGGCAACTACAGGATTTGACACAGTCAACTACAGTCATTGATTATAAAATAGAAGTGATCGATCCACATATCAACTGTGATGAGTCGCTTGAGGTGGTCAAGTCACTACCAGAATTTAGTGGAAAACAAACTAAATATGTTAGCTGGAGGGAATCAGCCAGTAACGCAATGAGTTTGTATGTAAGGGGAAGCCGTAGATATTTTGCTGCATTAACTATACTGAAAAATAAATTTACAAGTGATGCTAACTACATATTATCCAATCACGGAACGATTCTTAATATCGATGCCATTTTGGCACGACTCGATTTTGATTACGCGCCAAGTGATTTGCCAAATGCGTTGGCAAAAGCACAAGAATTATAATCAAATAATATGCGACAGATTTCCGCATCACAATTCGGGTAAAATCCGAATCATTACAGACAGCTTACTAATAACTTCAATAACGGGAATTTTAGTAATAATTTATGAGAATAAAAATTAATTAAATATGTATAAAAGACTAAAAGCAATTAATGGATTTTCGACAATACGTTATTCTCATTTTATTACTCTATTTGGACAAATTTTTTACGAAATCGAAAATTTAGAAGCAGACTTTTTAACCCCGAAAATTGCCAAAAAGCACCATGCTGCTCAATTGCATTAAAACGCAAACTCTACACAGCGAAAACCAAAATAGGATACTACTACCTACAGCAGTCGTCTCCATCGAACAACGAAAATAACTGTTTAAGCCTTTATAGACGAAGGATTACAACGATCATTTATAGCGTCCAAAACTAGCCAATTTTGAAATCATGGGAATGGGCGGAAGAGTAGTCCAAAACTCAAATAAAATCTGCCCCATTACATAACTTCCCCCAAAGCAGATAAACGCATTAAAGCAGAAGCTATTATCTTACCGCAACTTACAAACATGCTTCCAAGCTATCATATAAAAAGCAAGCATTGGCAAATGGTTTCACACCTAAAGCTAGCAAATCCCAACTTCAACACTCCCGCTCAAATAGATCTTCTATTAGGCAGCGACCTTATACTACAGATAACACTCGAAGGTATTGAGAAAAAAATTTCAAACACTTCTGGCACAAATACTATTTTTGGTTGGATCATAAGAAGGCTAGTTACGGAGCCAGTTACCACCACGACAACTTAATTTGGGAAAATCTCAAACGAATACCTCAATACACAATTGAGAAAATTTTGGGAGTTAAAAGAACTCCCCTCATTTCAATTACAACCCCCGAAAATCAGTATTGTGAAGACTTTTACATAGCCGCAACTACTATCACACACAACTACTAACAGATCAGATAATGGTCGGTACGTCGTACGACTACCACTAAAACAACAATTTCCTAACACACTCGCCTTAGGTCACTCTCGCAACTCTGCAATACAGCACTTTTTAAGTATGGAAAAAAACTTACTTAAACAAGTAAGGAAGGGCTAAGTTCGGATGTAACCGAACATTTTATACTCCCGCAAAGTCAAATATTATACTCGTTTGATATTTCTTTGTGGATTGACTGATATTTTCGGTAGAAGGTCAACTATAGGCACTAGGGTCCACATATTTAGTACTTAGGGGCTTGAACAGTTTTGGTTCGATTTAGACAATTTTTGGCCACAAAGTGGCATACTTTAATCGCATTATTCACGCAAAGATTTATCCCGATACAGTCATTGTTGCCAGATTTGCATAGTGGAAAATGAAAGAATCAGATGGAATTTAAAATGGTGTTATATGGGAAGTAGGCGTGGTTGTAAATCGGTAAAGCAGATCTCAAGATATGGGTTTTCACCTAAAAGTGGGCTGTGCCACACCCACTGTCTAATTTTGAATGCGGTTCCTATAAAATCGTCTCATACCATCCGAGAGATAAAATTTAATGTCTCTGGCGTGTTTAGTGCTTGATTTATCGCGCTTTTAGTAGTTTTTAACAGTACCGTTATATGGGGAGTGGGCGGAGTTGCCAACTGATTTCAACTATTTTCACACCGTCAATAGAAGTGCTAAAAGCATTTGCTTCCAGTGAATTTTGTTATTATAGCATTAGCGGTTTAGGAGATATGCAGATTAAACCTATTAGAGGCGGGACCACGCTCACTTTTTTTAAAAAAAATTTAACTGCAGATGCCTCTTCCTAATGGGATCCTGTGTACCAAATAACAGTCTTGTATTTTATTGCGGAGCTTAGTTATGGCAATTTATTTTTGATTAATGGCGTTTTGTGGGCGTGGCAGTGGTCCGATTACGCCCATCTGCAATACCAACCGTCTCACGGTACCAGGAAACATGTCTACCAAGTTTCATAAAGATATCTCAATTTTTACTCAAGTTAGAGCTTACACGCGAACAAGATCACAACTTCTGTGACGCCTCTATAAAAGCATATTACGCCACTATATACGTTCGCACACAAATCGACATTGCGACCACAAGACTCTTACTAGTACCAACAGCAAACGTACGCTCCCCAAGGTATTAACTGGCAGTTTATTCCTCCAAGCGCGTCTCTTATGGGTGATTTAAAGCTATAAAAAGCTTTAAATCCTACTTTAAAAAATCAGCTGGAAACTACAAATTTAATTATGAAGAATTTACAACATTATAAATTCGCATTGAAGCCGTTTCTATTCACGGCCACTAACGACACTCTCGCAAGATCTCACAGCCCTAACTCCAGGGCCCTTTCTCAAAGGGGCACCCATTTTGGCGTGGAGGCGCTCTTCATACAAAATAGATGCGAGAGTATTAAAATTTGCCATCATGATTTCAGTCATCGATAGAAGGAGGAGTATACAGAGGACCTTCGTAAAAAGTACCGCTGGAAAACTTCCGAAAAGGTACCACAGCTTGGAGATTTTGTCTTAATTCATGACGATTGCCTCCCCCTTACAGAATGGTGGCTTGGTTGCATAGAGAAGCTAAATCATGGTCACATACGAGTAGTTGACCTCCGTACTTGAAACGGAACGCTTACCAAACCGCTCGTTAAACTATGCTTCCTGCCAATCTCAGATATTAGCGAAAACGCAAGTAATAAACAATCCGTACAATAATACCTATATACAGAAATTGAACAATCCGCCTAGCAACTGAAAACCAAAATAAGCGGCAAATATGATAAATCACAACCATATATACTAACAAAGTAATGGTTAGACCTCCACTAACCAAATAAAGTTGGTTACATATGGAAAGATGGCCATAATCCATACCATTGAGTCGTAACTAAAATCGCCCTTTTCTCCAGACAGGTAGATATGGATCCAGAAATAAATCCAACCCCAACGCCAACGCCAACAATGCGATCAGCCATCAGTGTGCCTCGTCCTGGGGTTAACCACTGCAACCGCATCGTCAACCACCGCTCGCAGTGGTATACGTTGCAGCACTGTGGGCTCTTCAAGAGCATGTCGCCGACACAATCTCAACAAGTTGCCCAGGCGCATGGGCATTGCCGCAATTGTCTGGCACCTACGCATACGACGCAGGAATGCGACTCCGAGGCTTTTTGCCAAATGTGCAGGCAGCATCACACGCTGCACAAACAGACCGCAGCAAACCACCCGGCTGTTAAAGGCTGCACTATCCCCGCAGTTCTGGACTTAGCAACGTTGCAACAGCTTCAGCGACTGCCAGGCTGAACAGTCGCCGTCCTGATGCTCTTAACTACACCGCACAACACACCACTCACAAGACAACACTGGAATCGTGGAAACAGCAGTACACCCCACACCACACACCAATGCAACACTACTGGAAGCAGCATACACACCATAACTCTACACAGCCCAACGAACAAAACATCTGTCCTCGAAGCGGACAGGCCCCTTTTTACTTCGACTTGCGAGCATCCCACATCGGCGGACTTTTTCTTGGCACTCGACTCACCTCGTCATTTTCTTTTTTTTTCATAAACCTGAACTACATACTTATCATGTTTCCACCAGTATACGAACATGGAGTGATTCCTTCAAAACAACTTTTGTACAAATCGTAAAAATAAATTTTGTGAATTTTTTAAAACAAAAAAACACATTTTCCGGATAATTTTAATCTCTTTACACATTCGCGTAGTGATTGCGACACGTAAGTAGAGGTGTTAACGCTCACCATGAAAAAAAATACCTATGTCAGCCGATTAAAATAAATAATATCTTAGTAACACAGGCAAATGATGTAGCCTATCTTGGGATGGTTGGCACTTAGACAGAAGGCTCAGATGGAGAAAACATATACCACGCAAAATAACTAACATGCAAATAAAAGCAGCAAATTTAAACTGGCATTTAAATAAAAATTCTAAATTTAGCCGTGACAACAAAGTTCTGCTATACAACTCGGTGATAAAGCCGATTTCGATGTATGGTATTCAACTGTGGGGTCGACCTGTGCAACTAACATTGACATAATACAGAGGTTCTAGTCAAAAATGCTCATAGCGATAACGGATTCACCATGGTACATTCGAAATGAAAACATTCACAAAGATTTTGGTATTCCTATGGTAAACAAGGAAGTAGAGAATAGCAGAAAGAAATACGAGCTTAAACTCCGGAAACATCCAAATCCGTTAGCTAATGCCTCGCTACAATCTTACAACCAAACCCCCTTGAAAAGAAAATATCTACCAGCCCCATAAAGAGCAACGCTTATGCTTATTAGGCTATTAACAATAGCAAATTCAATAAATAAAATAATGTTAAAAGAAACCATCGAAATTCATGAAATTGGAAGCATAATATGTATGTAGGTTATGTCTTACCTCAGTATCAGTGTAGCTAACTTTTAATTTCTATTATCATCCTTTTGTACGACCATTCGACTATTAAGTATATTTGAGCCTTTCAGGTCCTTGCCTCCTTAATGGAGTTAATGCTATTTATTAACTTAAGTTTAGTTCAACGAATTTGTAAGTGATTAAATATATATTATCAGAACTTCTACTTTCTGGTTGAATTTATACAGCAGCTTCATCGCATAATCGGATAGGAGTTTGTCTAATATTAATATGCTCCATACATAAAATCAAAAAACCATAATGTGTTGTTTTTCGCTTTTATTTACACTTCATAATATCGTCTGCTTAAGTGATAAAGAAAACTTAATTTTTTTCAATATAGGTATGCTGCCAATTTAAGCAAATAAACTAAAACAATAAAAACAAAATAGGTCCCCTAAGAATATAAAATAAAAGGATTCAATATTTAGTTGTATATTCATTGTTATCCAGAACAGCCTGTAAGCGCTTTGGAGCATATTTGACCAAGTTTTGACAAACCACCGGCTATTAGCTGACCTAAGGTGTTAAACCTTTCCTGATACACTCTTCTAGCTAATTCCTTCCACAAATGCTCGATTTCATTGCGGCCACGGCTCCGCGCTGGTGTTTATATTACAAGGTTTGTGGCAATTGTGTATAAACCAAAGCTTTGCAACTCCCGATGGGTGCTTGGAGTCGTTGTCTTGATAGAAAGCAAAGTTGTTTGCGATACCCAACTTCTCCGCACTTTGCTTAACATTTTCTTTCAAAACCTTGAGATATCCAAATTTGTCCATTTTACCATCAATCCTTGACATGCAGCCCCAACCATGACAGAACCACTCTGTGCTTGACAGTAGATAGAAAATCTATGAAACGAAATATTTTTCAAGAAGTTTGAAGCGAGATACGAATTTTTCTTTTTGAAAATAGGAAAAAAGTAGAAAACCATAAGGAGGACTTTCCTGTTACAGTTAAAACCTCATACTTGGAGAGCCCTTCTTCGAGGTGACTGTGAACCAATTTTTCAGAGTACGAAGTGAAAAAATAATTTAATTTTTATCCACCCTAATACACATATGTTTGTAATCGACTCGAATTTTCGGCGAATAACAAGCTCTGAACAAATATCTCCTGGCTTGCTAATTTAGAGATTATAAAATTTTCGACCGTAGGTACAATTTAATATTTTCCAAATTCTAATCATTTGAGAAGGCAGAAGTTATAGATTCTGACTAGATATATGATTAACTGTAGGGTGCTATAATAATTTACATACATTGCATCTGAGTGTCAACAGTTCCTTGAATGCTCCGCACGGTCTTTTTAACACGAAGATTTTCTGAGCAGGTAAAATTTTTAAACTCTGTGCACGGATCCAAATTCCAATTGATGTTTCCTTGAATACTTGCAGCAACTACTTGACATATTACTTCTGAGCATTCTATGGGAGGAGGAGAAGTTGAAACACATTCATCTGTGCTGGAAAAACACTCCTTTGGTAGACGCGAAGGAGCTGTACTTATTAAAAACAGTATTGGTGATGCAACTAACAAGGACGTTACCAAAATTGTAGCCGCCGTAATAGCAATTTTATGAACGGTTGTCGAAGTTCGCAACCAAATACAAGGTGCACAACAAATCCATTCCAGCGCAGCATTCTGCAATAAAAAAAGAAAAAAAATTGTAAGGAAATTTCATTTTCACATAGATTTTGTATGAAGGGACTCCGCGTCGCCGTTTTGATTATTAATGACGTTTATGTTTACGTTCCATTTTTTTTACGACACACCAAATTTGTGTGACAATTATTATACCCTAAACAGGGTATATTAAGTTTGCCACGAAGTTTGTGACACCCAGAAGGAAACGTCGGTGACCCTATAAAGAACATATAATATATACATGATGAGCATGAAGCTGCGTCGATTTAGCCATGTCCGTCTGTCCCTCTCTATATACACGAAATAGACTCTCAGTTTTTAAGATATCGATCCGGGGGTACCTTCAGGTACAAGTAAGGAAAGACTAATTCGAGTGTAACCGATCCTTTTATACTCACGCAACTTGCAAGGTTTAAAGCCGAGGAAATACCTTCAGGTGTTGGCAAAACTTTATATTAAACAAGTAAAGAAGGGCTTAGTCTGAAAACTTTAGTTTGAAATAGAGACACAAATATCTACTATCCTGACAGCTATGCATTGTTTTATAAGTAATTGCATTAACATGGGAAGGATTCCAGTTTGAAAATGACAAATCAATTTGTGTACCGGCAGGGGTAGTTGAATATTCTACAAAAGGCAAAATTTTTTTCTATTATAGTCCCAGACAACTTTAAACAAATTTTAAAATCTCCAACAATTAGGAAATTTTGATTGCACAAGTCAGAAGGACTTTCTGAAGTTTTGCAATTAAATGTATGATAGAAAACAAATATGAAAATGAATAAATTTTCTTTATAACCTTTGGTTCTATAGAGCTAGCAATAGTATGCTTAGCATACATTATTATGCCGTATATTGCGGTTGCTTGACTCCGTGCTATCTATCCTCAGCTCGTTAATTGGAGTAAATCCTGGTATATCAAAATTTTTACAGAGATAACTCCACGTTTCTACAAAACATCAAATATCTGATGATAGCATCAGGCAGTCGCTCTTTATATCACTAAGATGGGCGTGGAGACTCTGAACATTATGAAACACAATTTGATGTCTTGATGAGCTCTCAGAGCTTTAGTTGTGTTCAATTCCATCAGGAGGAATACAATTTTCATTGATTAAAAGACCTTCTGCAGTAGTAGCTCAACATATTATATAGCGAAGCTCTAGACATTCTGGGTCGAGTATGAATTACAAATTAATTATAAATATGTGGCACCTTGACTTGTATGAATAGTTATTCCCTCAGTCGGAACAACTGGAAATTTATTTATTTCAATTGAAATTTGTTCATTTCTTTTATTTTAAAAATATTTCATTTTTTAAATTGGTGTCCAGGAACTTTCAAGACGATGGGGTTGCTTTGATCATGCTATCAAAAAACAGAAGGGTCTAAGAATTTAATCCACAGAGTTGCTGGAAAAGAACAATGGAAATCAATTTGCATAAGTTGTCTAGTTGCAACCAAGCCATCACTCGTGCTTATATTCACAGTAATCATATGTATGTATATTTGGCTGTGATTTTTAGAGTTAATTCGGAATGAACTCCTCGGGTTTCAATTAGTGATATGTCATCATTTGTCATAGTACCAGATGCCATATGGTTTAATTATATAGCAAAAGCCTGATATTCCCTTTGCCTCATTATTTCTGTTAATTCAAAGCATTTGAATAACTTCCACAAACGGGAAGCAACTAAAGTGATATATGCATCATTGGTGTTAGGAGAGAATATCCACCTATCTCCAACTGGTGAGAGTTGCTTTAAATTACCAAACACAATAATCGGTATGCCACCGAAGGGCATCTCTGTTTTGAATATTTGTTTTAACAGAGCTAAACATTTGAGCGCCTACCATCGATATTTCATCAATTATGATTAATTTTAAATCGAGAAGTCTGAAATGCAATGAATTAACTATGTCGTTGCTCAGTGGTCTCAACTCTCTAAATTGCAGATATCAAACGACTCTTTCCCACACCTGCACCGCCGCCAATGAACTCAGAAAATAGGCGGCTCGTTTTTAGCTGGTGCATCAAATGTGTCAAATAGGTTCTTTGCTTAGAATTTAGACTTTGAACTAAAGAAAATAATTCCTCAACAGGAATTAAAGGGGGTAGTTTAATAAGTCTAATATTGCAATCAGATTCAGTGCCATTATCTGTAAATCTTCACCATGCAACTCTAGAAAATTTATATTTGGGTTTATTTCTGGAAGTTCCAACATTCTGAACTCATTTTCTACGATAGGTAGTTCATTTGAGCACCTTCCTCTAAGTCGATTTCATTATAAAAACTGTCTTAAACATTTATAAGTTCTCTTTGCTCAAAACATTAAATTTTCTTTGACTTTCCTCAATTAAAATACGATGTGTAATGCAAGTCTGCTCATTATCATTTTCAATAAAATCTTGCATTCCGCACTATTCCATTTTTCCACTTCCGTTTCGCGGAAATACTCAACTCTATACACATCTAGGCTAACCTTCTATACCGAAATATACAAGGTTAGATACGTTTTTTAACAAAACCACCGTCTTTAAGAGGCATGACAACCCCACTTTCAAGTAAATTGTCATCTTCCCCCACTTCTCCTCATGATCAATATCTTGTGCTCTTCTGTTGGATTTAAAATATTAATACGTAGATGCAAGATCAGGTAAACACTGATCGGGTCTTTGAACATAACAGTCTAAAATACCGGCTACAAATATTTCAGTTGAACCTGAAGTAAGGTTCTGAAGTTCCGCTCTAGGTTTTACCATTCGAACACGTTCCTCAGGTCGAGAGGTATTTTTAAATACTTCATTCATATTATTTACTTCCTTCCGAAAGATGAAGCCCAATGCAGCAATGTACTGCTTCATGTGCAGATATTTCTGTGCCTGATATAAATTTGTGACCTATATGTTTTTGCTTAACATTATAATCTCTAGCATTTACCTCTGATATAGCTTTATTTAAGAACCTAGAAATTCCTCCGTTAGACTTCTTTATATAATTAATTATATATGAACTGCAAGCTTATGCATCCAGTATATATTGGATATCCATATTTGCTATATGGAGTTCCAAAATCAAAGGATTATAAGCATTTATAAAACGATCCTGTAATTTTCTTTTTAGAAAAATTTTGGGTTTTGCCAAGCGTGATCTAAGAGCTAACAAATTGTCATCAGAAGGCATTTTCTTCATTATTCTACTATCAGACAAGAAATGTTCAAAATCATTTAAATTAGAAATGTCTTCTTGTTTGGAATTTTCGTTTGGTTTTCTGAATTTTTAATTATTTCTGTAAGAGGGAACAATATTTGCGTTGAAGGCATTGGGGGATATGTTGTACCAAAACGACAAAACTGTTGACCTCTTATTTCTCTAGTACCACCAACTGGCGTTATGCTTTTGATAACCGAAATCATTTTCTAAGTGGCTGACCGAACCATCTGGAGAAATATAATTGTCAATGAAACTAATGACATCAGGGAATGTCTAAAGATTTTGAATGTTGATCCTGGGAGGATCATTAAGCTAATACATGCCATGTACATGCAGGAAACCTGTCTCTTGAAACTCCACTCTCCAGTAAAAGTTTTACAAATAGCTCTCCGTAAATGCCGGCAATATATTTAAAAATCTTAGATCCGAAAATCTTCTAAGGCAAATGGATCTAGTATTCTTAATTTGCAGCAATTCTAATTTCTTATAATTGTAGAAAGACTTTGGAATGGTAGACGCTGTTCTATCAAGACGGCGAATTTCAGATCGTATTATCTTACTGTGTGTCTCAGAGCATGTACGTTTCTGCCCAACGTACGAGTATATTGTTCCAAATGACATCTCTTCGGAATTATTATCCTGAATAATATCAATTGGTCTTTGTCCCTCACCTGGCGCTATAATTGAACGGTTATAGTTCAAGTTTTCTACAGGTATATTGTCCAAAAGCGTCTCTTGACCGCCTGGATTTAGCTCTGGAGGTACAGGTGCTATAGGAATACGATTACCAAAAAGGTGGAGGTCGGAAATCTGTTCCGTATAAAGGGATTAAACTAATCTGGCATCCTCTGCAGATGCAGCAAACGGAACTTCTTCTTCGTTATTAAATTCTGAAATCCAGTTGTCATTAATATGGATGTTGTGCTCACGATACGAAGGGGTATTCACTAAGAATTGCAAAGCTTCCATAATTTTTGCGGGAAGTATGGTATTCGTCATGTATCACATGAGCCTCATATAACAACCTTGGTAGAGATGTCACAATATTGTTAACAGAAATGGCTATATTAACCACAGCGCCTTTGAGCAAACTCTGACCTTAATATCCTAAAGGACGGATTGTCATAAAAGGCAATCTAGGCATTATAGGGCGTTCCTCAATTTGGATTAAATCATATAAACAATCCGGAATTTCAGGAAACCATATTTTGAAATGTTTTTTTTTAAATCGCAGCATTTTTGGAAATTTCCCAAAAATTGTAATTTCCATCTTCCGAAAAAAATGTTTGCATTAAAAAGAAGACGGATGCAGCATTCGGGTGGCTTTGAGCCATAGTTTTGAAATTTAAATTGCATACTTGCATTAAAACCATAATCCCCCGCAGCAAATACATAATTCAGCATATATTTTGAAAGTAAATGTTTTTTAAATCTGTTAAATTGCTCCTATAATAAGTTTTTATAACATTATTTTTCTTGTTAACCAGATACGTTGGGACTGCCTTTCGTTTTAAATTTTCCTATTGGCCGGGTTATTCTTACGAAAGCGAACTTGACAACTTATTAACAACTTTTTCAACAAATTGTACACCGGGATTTTCCCGTCGAGATCTGCGTTCTCGAGTGTTTCTGATTTGTTCTTCGAAATGAATTTGAGAATTGTGGCGTCTTATTATATGTAAAAATGTATAGATTTTTTACTCGGATTGCGTGACTTTGTGTCTTATGATTGCTGAACAACAACAATTGAATGAGTTTGTCCGTCGTCGTTTTTGTAAACGA